TGTAAATAAGGACTTTGTAGTCTAGTTTTAGACCGGAGTTTTTATTTAAAAGCCAATTTAAACTAGCTGCTTTTAATTTCATGTGTAGACGTCTATCTAAGTGTATACCGAGATATGTAACATCGTTTATTTGGGGAATGTTTATACCATTTAAGCGAATTGCAGGACATGATTGAGGTCTTAAAGTGAATGTGACGTGTTTACACTTTTGCTCATTAACTTTAATTCTCCAGTTTTTTAGCCATTCTTCGATGAGGAGTAAATGATCACTAATCGTTTTTGCTGCTCTTTTAGTGCATTTATCTTGGCATAAAATAGCTGTGTCATCCGCAAAGGTAGATGTCTGCACTTTTCGGTTTAAAGGGATGTCTGCCGTGTATATGATATATAAAATGGGCCCGAGGACGCTTCCCTGCGGAACACCTGTTTTTACCGGATACTCCTCACTGATAAATTCAGATTGTTTAATGGTAAATTGTCTGTTAGTCAGATATGACTTAAGTATCATATAAAATTGAACAGGCAGAGCCTTATGTATTTTGTGCAGTTAACCTTTATGCCAGGCTTTGTCGAACGCTTGTGCTACGTCAAGAAAGATTGCACAACAGTACTCCTTGAGCTCGAATGCCTTTCTGATTTCATTAGTTATTCGGTTAACTTGTTCGATAGTACTATGCCGAATCGGTGATCTGGTATCACATTGTTACGGTGGAGGAAAGGAGATATTTTTGATAGCAGAATTTTTTCAAATAATTTGGGAAGACTGGGTAGTAGGCTTATTGGTCTGTAAGACGCCGCCTGTGTGTGGTCTTTGCCTGGTTTGGCTATCATTAATATCTGCGACTTTTTTCACGCGTTTGGAAAGTAATTTAATTTTAGAATGGCATTAAAGAGTTCAGAGAGCAATGCTTGTGCAACTCTTGGTAGCTCTATTAGCATTTTAGATGTAATGAGGTCGTGGTCTGGAGATTTCTTTGGATTCAGTTTCTGTATCGCGTTTACCACTTCTAGGCTTGATATTGTAATTGCCACCTGATTTTCCTGGCCGTTAATAACAAATTCCGGCAGAATAAAATTATTAGTTGCGTCATTTGGCTGGAATACATTACTTAAATGCTTTGCAAAGCAATTTGCCTTTTCTTCGTTACTACGCGTCCAGTTACCATTTGTGTCCCTGATTGGCATATTCATTTCTATTGGAGGCTTAAATTTCTTTTGTGCTTTCCACAGTGAGTATTTTTTGGCAGAATTTGGCGCTAGTTTTTCTATGTATGCCTTGGCATTGTGATCTTCTGCTGTAACTTTGCTGCTGGAGAGCGATATTCTTGCCATTCTCTCCGCAAACGGCGCTTATTTTTTACTAGTTCTTCTATTTCTGTATTTGTTGAAATTTTTGGGCACGTAGTAGACTTTTTACTTTTTGGAGCTGCTATGGTTGCCGCAGAAACAAGGACATTATTTAGCTCATTAATGTAGTCATCAATATCGTTAGTATATTCTTTGTATTTTAGCCAGTTGGTTTCTCTGTTTGTTAGTCTATTTTTGGGCGCTCGTAAATTTTTATTAGAACTGGTGAGTGGTCTGAAGACAACTCAGCAACTGTCACAGCTGATACAAGTTGCCTGTCGATTTTTCTTGAGACAGCAAAGTCTATTAAGTCAGGTATTTTCTTCCGATCGGTAAGCCAGTATGTTGGTTGATATGATAAAATAACGTAAAAAAGAAAGCTAAAATATAAAAAAGTAAAATTTAATACAACAAAATAACACAAAAAAATATAATATAATATAAAATATCGTAAAATAAAAAGCAATAAAACAAAATAAAGTAAAATAAAATAAAACAAATATAATAAAATGAAAATTTAAAATAAAATGAACATAAATAAAAATTTGAATTAAATAAGATAAATAAACAAAGCATTAAATGAAAGAAAATAAAAAATAGTAATTTAAAACAAAATAAAGAATGACAATTTAAATTGAAACACAAATAAAATTACTAAATAAAAATCATCTCATCAAATTAAATTAAATCAAGATGGTGCAAAATAAAATTAGAAAATTAAATTAAATTAGAATAAAATAATGCAAAAGTTATAAAGTAAAATAAAATTAAACAAAATACACTAAAATAAGGAAAATAAAATGACAACAATGGATGCTAAGCGAGGAGAAAAGAAGTTCGACTTCAACCTTTGACTTGACTACCAACGCCTGCCCATCACACCTGCTCTAATTTTACTCTTAAAATCTTCATAAAGTAACGGCAATCGCATGAATACATAGAATATGTATGTACTCGTGTATGTGTATCTAGTGTACATACGGATAAATCACTTTAAGCAACCACCGAAAATCTATGTCAAACACTCGAATTTAACAGTCTAATCTGGCAAGCAGCTGCCAACTAACAAAAGTGTAGCTTACAACACGAAGTAGTACACGTATATTTATATATTTACAAGTATTAGCCCACACCACCCTAATTTGAGAGAAAAGAGTAAATGATTTACGGCAGTCTTTTTTATATATTTTTTATTTTTATTTTAAACAACAATTAATTGAATTTACAATATATTTTATATAAATAATTGCCATTTGCTTAAATATACATATACACATATATTTTTAATATTGATTTTGGTATAATTATGCTTAGATTATAATATTTTATAAATAATTTGTTTAACAAATAAGGACTTTACAAGAAATATAAATGTTTTACTGATTTTTTATAGAGATTTTCTAAACCTGTGAAAGATTCATTAAGGTCACTGTCCTCCTCTGAAGGTGTCTCCGCAAGCTTTTCCGAAGGTTTCTCTGAGAGCGTTTCTGAAGGTTTCTCTGAATAATTCTGGGATGGCTGCTCAGCAGACTTCACTGATGTCTTCTCGGGAGTGTTTTCTGTAAATTTCGCGGAAAGTTTATCTAGAGACTTTTCAGAAGATTTATCTAAAGCGTTCTCGGAAGTGCCGTCTGCAAAATTTTCGGCAGACGCTGACGGCTTCTCGGAGGTGTTTTCTGTAAATTCTTCGGAAGGTTTATCTGAAGACTTCTCAAAAGATTTTTGTGAACGCCTCTTGGAAGTGTTTTCTGTCAATTTCTCGGAATGTTCCTCTGAAGACTTGTCGGGAGGTTTCAATGTATATTTTTTCAAAAGCGTCTCAACATCTTTCTCATACAAGGGCTTGTCTAGTAAGCAAATCTTCAAGACCATATCACAATCATAAAAGTTGTCGGTTAAGTGAAACAACTGTCGGTCACTGCTAATATTAACCCAATTATCCTCCAAGTCGGTAGAGGTTTCATCTTCACTATCCGAACTCAGCTGATCTTCTGATGAAGTTATCTTCGAAGCACTTAAGTCACCTCGGACTGTTACTTCAGGTGGGGTGTTCAAATTGGGCTTTGATTGACTGGGATCTGTTGATTCTTCACTGGGATCTGATGAGTTGTTTTCTTGATTTTTAATGTATTCAAAATTGGCCCCTGTCATATAATGTACATCTCTACAATCGTATGATATATTGGCAAATGTATTTGCATTAAACCAATCTACACCGTACTCGCCATTCTCCGATGCGGTTGTGTAGTGCTCCGAGTCATCGGAATCAATTTCTTCGATAGATACTTCGGACTCATATGGGTCATTTTCTTCGATAGACTGTTCCAAGTCACTTTCTTTGATGGGCGACTTTTTCGAATCATGCGATTCATTTTCTTCCATAGAATGTTCTGAGTCATTAGAATCACTTTCTTCAATAGACTGTTCCATGTCACCTTCTTCGATAAACGACTGTTCCGAATCATGTGAATCATTTTCTTCCATAGATTGCTCGGCCTCATCTGAATCACTTCCTTCAATAGACGTCTCTTCCGAATCATGTGAATGATTTCCTTCGATGGAGTGCTTCGAGTCGTTTTCTGCGATGACGTGTTGTGAGTCATCCGAATCTTCTTCTTTAATAGATTGTTCCAACTCGTGTGACTCATTTTCTTCCATAGATTGTTCGGCCTCATCTGAATCACTTCCTTCGATAGACGATTCTTCCGAGTCATGAGAATCATTTTGTTCGATGGAGTGCTCCGAGTTGCTTCCTTCGATGAAGTGTTTTGAGTCATCGACGCTATTTCCTTCTTTGGAGTGTTGCTTGTTATCCGAGTAATTTTCTTCGATGGGGTGCTCCGACTTGTCTTCTTCTTCGACGGGGTGTCCCGATTGATTTAAATCACATTTATCGTTGGAGTGTTGATCGTTGCTTATGTTGACCCAATTTTCACTATCAGAACTCAGCTGATCTTCTGCAGATAAAATTATCTTGGAAGCACTTACATCACTTAACACTGTTATTTCGTCGTCACAAATGATGCTGTAGGTGCTTAAATTGATCTTTGATTCTCTGGAATCTGTTGGTTCTTCACTGGCGTCGGATGAGTTGCTGTCATGACTTTTAATGTATTCAAAATTGTCCGCTGTCACATAATGTGCGTCTTCACAGTCATATGAAGTATCGCCAAATGTATTTGCATTAAAGCAATCTACACTGTACTCGCCACTCTCCGATGCGGTTGTGTAGTGCTCCGAGTCATCGGAATCAATTTCTTCGAAAGATTCTTCGGGCTCATCTGGGTCACTTTCTTCTATAGACAGCTCTTCCGAGTTGTGTGAATCATTTTCTTCGTCGGGGCGTTCTGATTCATCCGAGTCACTTTTTTCGTTGAAGTGTTGCAGGTCATCTGAGTCCCTTTCTTCGATGTATTCCTGTTTTACGGTTTCACAACCGTCCCATGGTTTAGATATATGTAAAAGACTGATTTCTTTTCGATGCGTTGTCGACCGACCAGCAATTACACATTTCAAATTCATATCGTTGGTTGTTGGTGATATAGAGCGTGATGTGGACGGCGCCACATACTTTTCGAAATTACTTTTCCATTTCAAGTAATTTTGGTATAATATACTTAGCTCCTTGCTTTTTGCGGCCGAAGCGCGAGAGGTTGTTGTGTGTCCGGCACTTTTACGTTTACGTTTGATCTGTCCTTCTGTTTTAGCCATTTCTGTGATGATGTTACTGATCTCAGCGATTGTAAACCGAACGAAATTTTGTGTTGCTCTGAAGTTGACTTAATGCATCTGCTAAGCACCAAGCTTGACTGTTTCAAGTATGGAACATTTTTTCCTTTTATATTTCGCGAGCACAATAATTTGAGTGAAGACATTTTGGATGAAAAATAGGAGTACTAGGCTTTTTCGCGCTTTACCTGTGAGCATCTTATTGTCTCAATTTTTGTTACTGACCAACCAGCGCAGAGCAAATAATCGACGAAACACGTCTGTATATAATTTTCAAAGTATTTTCTAATCCTGCGAATCCACTAATCTCTAGTGCTAAGATTCGTGAATTTAAAATTCTCTCTGCTATTGTTTTGTGAAAATTTTGTTAGTTTTCTTCTTTTTGTTTTGTTAGTGGACAAAATAAAACTCCAGTAACACCCAAAAAATATTCAATCGCTTTTGTGTAGCTTGTTTTTGAAAATGTTTGTGTCTGTATTTATTTCTTTTTTGTTTGTGATTAAACAAAAGCGAATTTGCAGAAGGTCAAATATTAGCGAAAAAGCATTTTAAAATATATAATTTTTCATGGAAAATAAAGTGGAAGGGTTCCGCCTACTAAGTCCCAAATTTTCCTTTCTACGACTTATGCATACATATGCGCAAATTTGGTAAAGATTACAAAGGGATTCCGCGAAGTTTTTGTATTTGCGCTAAGAAATATTTCACGAATATGTGGAAAAGGTCGCCAACTTCGCGTTGCCTTACGAAAGTGGCGGATCACAGTAAACATAACGTATATAAGCCGATGAATTATGGTTTGTATGCATATTAGGGTGGTCCTGTTTTTGGGGGATTTGCAGAATTTTTTATTTTCCAATTAAATAAAGAAATAAAAATACATAAATAAATATATATTATATAAGTACTTTCGTATATAAATATAGGAGCTTAATGGAAAAAATTCTTGTAAGTCATAAACTTTTTAAACAATATTTTTTTTTTTTTATTTACAGCCTTAAGCGAGCCAGACCGATTTGAAACTTTGAATCATAGATTTGTTAAAAAGGTATTTATTACTATACATTCGTTTCTACAAAAAAATATTTATAATCGCCAAATTCATTGAAATCGGATCGGTGCCCGGAAACAGCTATATTCACCGATTTGTTAAGATATGAGGTTTTGTGTCAAAAATCTGTCAAAAAAAATTCGTTAGATCTGACATTCCACACATTTATATACAAATAAATTTTCTCATCGAAAACCATCAAAATCGGAGACTTTTATCACAAAGCAGCCATTTAAGAGATTTACTTTAAATTTTCAAGCAAAAACAATGAAAATTGAAGAGAACAACTGAAATCTTGCGAAAAAATAAAAGTAAAAATTATTGTTTAAACAAAATGCAAGAAACGCAAAATAAACATGAGCCACCTTAATGAACTAATAACGGCAAGCAACACAGCAGGTATATCATACTTAGTAGCTACGAACTGAAACGCGGTTTACTCGGCTTACTCGCGGTCAACGGTTACAGGCTGTATAGAAGAATACAAGAGCAAATTGAAAAAAAATATTTGGAAAACAAAATTTTACACAAATTTTGTGGTCTGCGAAATTTGCAGTATACATAAATGTATGTACGTATGAAGAATGTATGTATGTATGTAAGGGTATATATTCACCAGTAAGTTTCGATGGGCACATTTTTAGGTTTTTTTTTTCTCATAAAAAAAATTTCATTAAGCAAAAATTTAATATTAATTTTACAACAATTATTTTTTAATAGTTATAAACATAGGTGACAAAAAAAATTTAAACCTTTCGTTTTCATTATTTATGTTAGTATAAAATAAATGAATTAATAATAAGAAAGAGCTAAATTCGCACGCAATCAATGATTCGTGGTTAGCGATTTTTAATTGTTTGCTGATTTTAATGTCTATTATGAATAAAAATCATCATTATCAACTGAATTTGAACGAAACTTTGTTTCAAAAATAGTCTTAACAATATATGCTTAATCAAGTCAACAGTCACAATTCACGGGCATCGTACCCGCGACGGACATCTTTGTAGCAAACACATGAAACCACGCGTTTACAGCAGCCTCAATTTTATATTGTTATAAATTATATAAAAAAAAAAATATTTCTTACAAAGTGGTTTGCACATACGAAGAAATGCTACACTTTGAAGAAATTTCCTTCCATCAGTTGATACAATTTTTTTTATTTTTATTCAGTATTTAATTAAGCACTTTTTACCGCGAAACTTCAGAATAACCTTTAAGGGGTTACATATGCTTCTTAGGGGATCTATTTTTAACAATTTATTTAAAAACAATATTAATATTTTTTTTCAAACTACTTTACTGTCCTAAAATTATACGTGCTTTTGAAATTTTCTGAAATTTGGAAAGGAAAGCATGCAAAACTTCGCGAACTTGGCACCCTTCCAGTGACTCATTGGAAAAAAGATCCGTCTGCATTGATAGTAGAAATTATTTCAGAATCCTCCAACCTGATAGAAGGTATCGTGTTTCAGTTAATACCAAAAATTCGAATTTGGTCAAAGCAAACATTTTTAAAATTGAATTTTTTGCAAAAATTTTTTTTTCCAAAAAAAAAAAGAAAGAATGCAAGCTTTGTTAAAAGTTGCTCAACTTGTATTTGTCTAAATCTGTAATTAGTTGAGATTAAAAAAGAGCCCATTTCACGTGAATTGTATTATAAAGAACTGTGTAAAATTTCATCAAGATCGTTTGAGCAATTTTCTAGAACTCTCATTAACCGACTTCGGAAGCAGAGTTGCGAGAAAACCGCATTTAAAGTGCTGAACAGAGCACTTATAATAAGAACTCTATTTTAATTTAGACCCTAGATGCAAAGAAGCGTTTGCGTCCAATTTCCCAAAGAGCGGGTATCGGAAATGAGGAAAAAGTTGGCTCTCCTCATTTTACGGGATGTGGTAGAGATGAAGGGAATTTTTACCAAGACGAAAACTCGTACGGTACTCGTTCTACTTTTCCCAAAATAGGCTAAAGCCTCTCATGACAGAGCTACAAATTTCAATAGAAATAATTACAAAATATTTTTTGTTGTTTTTTTAAATTAAATTTTAATTTTTTATTATTTATTTACTGTAATTTGGTTTTTAAATTATTAAAAGTAATTTTATTACTAAATAATTCTAAAATAATTAAATAAATATTATTGCTATATTTTTTGGAAGCGAATTCTTTAAGACCGCATATCAGTTGAACGTCTCAAAGAAAAAAAAAACTTCCTTTTTTGTGCGAAAACCCTTTCGTGAGAAAATTCGCTGGCCTTCTCTGCAGCAGGAAATAATTGCACTCAACTTGTTTTGTTTGTTTCGGTGATGAATTGTACGTGCCAAACTCTTTCTGATTCTCAGCATGAACTGGTTTTAGTTCCGTCATCAGTTTCTTACACTCTGTCTCCTTTTCCGTTGATATCTGTGTTGCAAACTTATAATGTAGATCTGGTGTGGATCTTCCTGTCGGCGGTGCTTCTTCCTTGTTGTCATTGTACTCATTTTTCAGTGTTCTTTCAAGGTCCATTAGATCATCTTCTTTGTAAATTTTTGATCTCTTTGATGGTGACTCTTCTTCTTTATTTTCTTGATCGTCATGCCTCAGCGTTGTTTCAGAACAGTTCTCCATGTTTTCATCTTCATTGTGCATTTGTGATTTTCGCGGCATGCTTTTCTCGAAACTCGCACGCAATGATAGTCGCCGACTTGGTTTTGTTAGTGAATTCCGTCTGTCCGCTTTCTTTGTCTTCACTTTTTCATTTATCAAATCCTCTTTCGTTAATTTAGTATAAGCTGGAAAACCTTTTGGTGTGAGTTGCCATGCCACAGCGTCTGTTATGTTATTTGCTAGTGGGCTGCTGTCTCCTCTTATGGGCGACACCTTGCGTGGTGTGCGTGTCTTACTGCCCTCAAAGGCGTTCTTCCATAATATGTAGGTCGGATCGTATTTCGGACCCTCACACTCTGGCATTTGTGGAAGCGTTTCCTTATCATAGAAACGTGCTGTTGCTTTGCCATCATCTGACATTACGCCATCTTGGCTGGTTAATGTGGAACAACGTTTTATTGGTGTCTGCAAATTTGTGTTTTGTATATTTTTACTATTTCGACTCTTCGAATGTAAGCCACCCATGATTATTTGTAAAGCAATTTAATTTTGCAGTATTTGTTGTATTTCAAGCAAAACTCTTCAGTTAACTGTTGAATTTACTTATATATATTACGCTTTTATAGCCCAACATTAGTTAAGGCTAATGAATGTCCTTTCTCTACAATTAAGAAGGATAATTTGGTTTGAGATGCGCAGGTAGTCAGTAAGCGACTGCGCGACATTTCGATTGTACAAGCATACATAGCCAAATCTTATGTGCGTCTATGCAGCTCGAAAGGCTCTTTCATACAACTAATGAAGCGCAGGCATCAGCGGTTTGCCTGAAGATTTTCAAATAACTGCATTGCGTCTAAAAATGAGATTTGTAAATTTAACTGAGCAAAATTCAAATATGAGCAGAAATGTATGAAATTTTAAACTAAAATTTCCATTTCTTGAGCGGTAAATCCCTTTAACGAGACCATGTGGACTTCCCGAAATTTATCAGATATTAATTTTGGTACCAGTCTTGATTAACTTAGGTGAAGTAAAGGCCCTCTGGTCTTTTTTAATGCCAGTTGCGGTCTCAGTTTAGTACGAGCTGAAGTAGTTTTTCGATGAGATATCAAAGCATTTTTCGAAGTTCGTGATAGCCTTAATAAACAATTTTTTTTCGAGCTACGAAGCTACTATATATCTGCGATTATAGATAGAGCCACTCAGAAGCATATCAGCGTCTCACTAATGCTTCTTCTCTGTGCTTCGAACATGTCTCAATTTTACTGATGGCCAATCGAATCGCATGGTTTGCCAGTCGATTGTGACCTGTTGTTAGGACAAACATCAGCCTGCAATCCTTTCATCTCGGCGATGCTCCATGTCGTTAAGGTATTTCAGCTCAACTTTTCGGAAATTTCTTTGTGCATAATTTTTAGCGACTTGCCAATTTTCTGTACTGGTTCGATAGCCAGATGGTTGACACTTTCGGC